CTTTCTCCCTGCTGATGGTAACCAGCCAAAGCTGAATTAATCATGTAACTAGAATGTAGGACTCTGCAGGACAGGGTCCAGAGCTTCTATTCCTACTACATACCATGGGATCTGGTGCAGGGCTGGGCACAATGAGTGCTTAATGCATACAAAGGAAAGCTTTTAAAAAATAAATCTCTCAGCAACCAAATTACTAGTTATGCTTTTTTAAAAAAAAAAATTACCAGTTTACATAATTAATCAGGGTGCCTTTTAAGTTCTAACTTTTTTTTGTTTATTGTATAATGCATCATTTGAAAATACCAAGGAAATATCTTTTTGTTTTTAATGATGCGTGAATGGAAGTAATGCTAGTTGGCAGTATTTGATTGTAAGAAATCAATAAAGTAACTGTATTTTTAAAAAAATAAATCTCTCTCCAACATTTTTATGCATAAATAATAACAGTAGACACACTTTATTGAATTACTACTATTATTATTATTATACTGGATAGCATTTATTTTGGGTCAGGCTTCATACTAAGCATGTTACAAACATTACCTCACTTCCCTCCCAAACATCCCTATGAGGTAGATGCTATGATTTCTACATTTTACAGAGAAGGAGACTGAGGTTCAGTGTGGTTAAGAGGCTTCCACGTTTACAGAGTTACTCAGGGTTTGTGGCCAAGATTCAAACCCAGGTCTGTCTCACCCTAAGGACCATATTCTTAACACCTATACGGTAGTATTCACAAACATTCCCCACCACCACCAGAAAAGATATGTATGTGTGTGTGTGTGTGTGTGTGTGTGTGTGTGTGTGTTTTCATTACTCATATAATATGCAAATCTTTTTATGTCAATAAATGTACTTCTATAGCATCATTATTAATAGCCTATGTTCCCTTGTACGGATTTATCATGTGTTACTTCATCATTTGCTGAGAAACAACTTGGGCAACACTACAATGCAGTAGAGAAGCCTGGGGAGGAAATGTTTCGCAGAGCTAGGATAGCTTGGGGGAAACAACACTAGATCCCAGTTCCACTGTCCACCAGTTGTGAGATGGGGAGAGCCATTTGGTCTCTCAGAACCTGTTTGCTCACGCAAATGGGTTGACATCCAACTGATGGGCACCACCAGAGACAAATTACTTATTAAAATATATGAATATTTCCATACTGGGTGGTAATCAGGTGCTGTCCTGATACTCCTGAGAGCCTTCCTGTTTCCCCAGCCTCTCTCCTCATGGAGCCTCTCACATCCACAAACCCAGCAATGTAGACATTAATGCTTAAGACCCCAGTCTCAGGACCCTGCCCCAGCACTCTGCTGGCTTCTGTGCTGCCTGAGCAGTGTTCCTGTGCTTAAATATTTTGACTCTCATCCCTGAGGCTAATTATATCAACGTCTAGAGGCGAGGGTGCAATGAAGAATATGTAAGAGTTTGCAAAAGCTGAAGATACTATGCAAGTGATGGGCATTGTTACTGCCATTAGTATTAAAAACTTCTTTAGTAGTGCACCTACAATCATGCTACACAACTACATTCCCCAGCGTGAAATATTTGGCCCTGCTTTTCCAGAACTGTATAATCCAAATTTATTTAGATGCCACAGTTAAGCAGTCTCCTATTTAAAGTCATCAGGCATTCAGTCACAACCTGGCTTGAGCGGGACTTCAATCTTCAGGTCCCCTTCTTTGAAACACCCATGGAGTTTTCAATAATTATTTACAGAGCCACAAGCTTCCTGCCTGGCCCTGTATTCTCTCCCTCTCTTCAGGGGATCATGTGGCAGCTTCCATTTCCTACTGTTTGATGCATGCTGGGTTCCTGTTTCACACTCTGGACTATCAGTTTCTGAGCATCAGAAGATAAAGATGGTGGCACTTTTGGAAGGTTCCGTATCTCTTTCCAGTAATAGCCAAAGAGGTTCAGTTACTAGGAAGCTTTTTTCACACATAGGGCTGTTTATTTCAAGGCAAAATTCTCAATATAAAAAAAAAAAAAAAAAAAAAAAAAAAAAAAAAAAATTGCAGTCATCTGGTCCAACGTCCTGCCTCTAAGCTGGTCAGCATCTGAGATACCCAGGACAGTAAATTTATTTTTAAGATATTCCAAAGACGGAGGGTCCCAAATCACCTTTAAGGTGTGTTTAAGTTTCAGTCACCCTGACAGCCAAGTTCTTCCTTGTGTCTAAGGAAACTCTCTGGGTGTAACTAAAGTTCACATTATCCAGTTACACCCAATTGCCTGTGAGGAATACCCACTCTTACATTATAGAGGACCAGGATGGAGCCAGGAATTTTTTGTGTCCTTCCAATGCCCGGAATGGCAACTTATGTGATTAAACATTCATAAATACTCTGATGTCAAAAGCAACAGGACTGGGAATTGCCATTCAGGGACCATGAAACCTTTCCACTGCTCTGTGTTTAAATGCAGACATGCCTAGTGGGTACCAGAAACTCAGTGGGCTTTGGAGGTAGGCAGACCTGAGTTCAAATTTTAAATCTCTCAAACTGTGTGAGATTTGCAAGTTTTTTTAAGCCCTATAAACTTGTTTTTCCAATTTGTAAAACTCTCACAGAATTACTGTGAAGATAAAGTTGCATAATTTACACAAAGTACCTGTTCAATAAATGTTACTTTCCTGAACCTGGTCATTATCACAATGGTAGGTAACATATACTGAGCATATACAATGTGCCAGGCACAATGCTAAGTACTTTTAATGTCATATATTTTTAATCACCATGATAATCTTTGAAAGTAGGTACTTTTATTATCACAAGGTTAAGTGGCTTGCTCAAGCTCACAGAGTAAGTGGGTAGAACGGACATCAAGTCCAGGTTTAATTGCTTTTAAAGCCTTGCTTTAAAAAAAGCCTTGCTTTTTATGATTATTATCTTATTGTGGTAAAATATACATAACATAAAATTTACCACTTTAACCTTCTTAAGGTTCAGTTCAGGGACATCAGCACATTCACATTATTGTGCAAGCCTCTCCACCACGTGTCTCCAGAACGTTTTCTTATTCCCACACCGAAACTCTTCAGTTAAACTCCACCTTCTCCTCTCCCCAACCCCTGGCAAACACCATTCTACTTTCTGTCTCTGTAAATTAGACTATGCTAGTACCTCATGAAAGTGGAATCATACAATTATCTTTTTGTGACCGGCTTATTGCACTTAGCTCAAGGTCTTCAAGGTTCATGCATGTCATAATGTGTATCAGAATTTCCTTCCTTTTAAGGCTGAATAATATTCTATTGTATGTATACACCATGTTTTGTTTGTTCAGTCACCTGTTGATGAATATTTGGGTTGTTTCCACCTATGGGCAATTATGCTGCTATGAACACTGGTGTACAAATATCTGTTCAAGTTCTAGAGCCCTTATTTTTTTTTTTTTTTTTAAACACCAACAGAAACTCCATTTCCAGTGATGAGGGACTAACTCAACCTGGCATGAGTCATGAAGTCTGGCCCTGACTGGAAGGACAAAAAGTTTCTTCACTAATGAAATCAACAGTGCTGGATATGACTGAAGTAAGAAGATTCAATTCCTATTTTCCTACTCCATTTGCGGAGCACAGGCTCCGGACGCGCAGGCTCAGTGGCCATGGCTCACGGGCCCAGCCGCTCCGCGGCATGTGGGATCTTCCCGAAACGGGGCACGAACCCGCGTCTCCTGCATCGGCAGGCGGACTCTCAAGCACTGCGCCACCAGGGAAGCCCTAGAGCCCTTACTTTTAATTATTGTGTCTAACTGCTATCCAGTGTTGCTGCAAAGCCGATATTTACTAAGGGTTATTTTACAGTTGGATTCGCTATTGAAAAATCATGACTTCCCAGCTCTCATTTCCTTATTTTTCCTAAGTACCGCACTGACAACCTGTTTCAGTGGGTGGAGCTGCACGAATCCATCCCGATCACTCTCACACCAGAGGCGGCCTAGCAGTGGGATGTGGCATTTGCTCAGGCAACAAAGAAAACAAGGACAACCAGATGAAACAGAAATCAAACCCTGAACCTTGTCTCTAGAGTACTATGTTTAAAACCACTGTGTAGTGCTGTGAGGAAGACTCCGGTAGCTGGTTTTATCAAGTCCATGCCTAATCATACTTTTACATGAAGGCCAAGTATGACACATGACTGATGAAGGTCAAGCAGTCCAATATCATAAACCATGGCCTTGTACAAGGTTCGTATAAACTATGACTTTATAAGTTCTAAAGCTATAAATGAGATTTAGTTAAAAAGAAATCCTGTAAGTACAGGATATAACATAGTACCTAGGACGTAATAAGCACTTGATAAATGGTAACTATTATCATCATCATCATCACTATTATTAATGGCCTTATTCTCTTAAAAGGAACATTCCATAGGGCCAAGGGCATGAGGAATCAGAAGACCTGGGTTCTTATTCTGTCTCTACACCTAATGACCCTATAATATTGGGTGAGTCCCTTACAACTTGGAACTCAATTTTCCTCACTTGCAAGATGGAAATGACCATACTTTGCCTTTCTCCTCAAGGTTGTGAAGACTCAATGAGATAGAATGTGATAGTGCTTTGTAATGCGCAAGTCACTCCACTAACATGAGGGATTGTTCATTCCAGCCCCCTTTAATATCAAAAAGAAACCTGGTATTATCTTTGATAAATGTGGACATGCCCATAATTACACTTTTACCAATGCCAGCAAGGCCAATACATTTGTCGGCTATAGATGTATAATCTGTTCCCTTAGGAAACGAACAATAAAAATGATTAGAGAGTAATTATCTGAATTTCACACTTTAAAGATGAAAATATATCCTGGTGTGCTATTCATTAATAACCTGGTACATTATATCATTGTATTCACTCTTTTTTTTTTTTTAAGGCATTCATGGCCCTACTGGCAGAGAGCATATACACATCTCTGTTTTTGGAAATCAGCGAATATTTTCCAGGTTCTTCTAGCTTCAAAGAAGATCATGTATGGGCTTTTGATTATCCATGGTACTGGAGAAGATAACTGAAATTCACAGATAAAATACATGTTTCAAGTGAAATATTAGCTCAAATGTCTTCCCATGTAACGTTTCCTCTGGCTGATTTGCTTTTCACCATTTCTTCCCAGGACTCCAACTACCCAGCATTCATGTTAACAAGCGATGGAAAGGCAAAATAAATAAATAAACAAACAAAAAAGCAGGCAGCAGGAGGGAGATAAGAAATAAAAGAAGACATGGATAAACCACAAGCTGAATAATTGGCTGGAATAAAATAAGCACCTTCAAGCACTTAGCTCTTTCAGGAAAAAGAACAACTCGTTGCCGCATAATTATCTAAAACGGCAGACCGGCAACCTGAAAACCGCTGCATCTCTATTTCATTTACTTACCAAGATTGCCCAGCCAAAGACCCAATTACAATTTGCTACCCCAGATGGAATTTGAATACTAGCTATGCGTATTGCACTTTCCAATAGGTAGTCAACAAGAATGTTATTTTCATCCCAGAAATATTATTCTGAGAGCGGCTTCACATTTGGTGCACCTATAGCTCTGGTCAGTACCAGAGTAGGAGCGAGATACAAATCTGAACAATTCAGGTGTTCCTCTAACCACATTTTAGTCCTTAAAGCTTATACACCATGGGCAATACCAACCTTACGGTCATTCGCCTTGTAATCATTGAAGAAAGGCTGGCTGCTCGCCAAGGTGTAGGCACTACCCTCTCGAAACACGCTGATCCTCTGAGCAGTCAGCTTAGGGGAGTACGACCGGGGTTTGGGGGCTTCCCCAGACCCATAAACACCATCCATTGGCTCAAGGGACTCTTGGAGGAAACTGTGAGGGTACTCCTCCTTTGGCGACTCTAATTCCTGCCCATCCTCAAAGACCTGCTTCAACACCCGGCCACTGTAGGAGGAAGAGATTTTAAATCGTACTTTCCGGGGTTTGCCGTCACTCTTCTGGTTCAGCTTCTTTGCAGGGTCCTCCATCAGCAGAAGGTTCACCTTGTAGTTTCCAGGCTTTGGTGTAGCCAGTGAAACTTGGGGCTCTGAGAAAAAGGCATTTTATTTTCTCTCCTGCATATAATTAATTCAAGCTGGTGCTGGGGTATGCTCGGTTTACAGCAACTGACACCTGCACATTAAATATTGATAGGCCTTCATGCAGAGGCAGGCTACTGCGGGTTTATGGAGTGGACGGAGCATAAGACAAGACTGGGTCCTCTCAGAATCCCAAACTCACCCATAACTTCACCCCAACCCTGGCATTTCTTAATAGGAGCATGAGTAGGTTTATTTAGACTGAACAAGTAATCAGCTCAGCAGGGATCAGTTAGCAAGGGTCTTGTTATTCTTACCCACAACTATGACCTAGTGAGCATTTAATAGGTGCCAGAGATTTTTACATGCATTATCTTACTTTGTCCTCACAATAAACCTACGATGAAACTATTATTATCTGTGTTTTACAGAGGGGAAAGTGAGGGCCCGAGCAGTTTCTCCATTAGTTTACTCTATTACAGCAAGTAATTGACAGAGCAGGGATTCGAACTCAGTTCTAACTGATTCCAAAGCCCATGACCAGTCCACCAAGCCAAAAGTTTTCAAACCGTGTCTCATGGACCCCTAGACAGGAAGAAGCTATGGGTCCTTCTGAGCCTTCTACCCCTGCATTAACCAACGCACCTTCACTTTATATCTATTTTATATTTAAGATTTCATCTGCAAGAACAGCATGAGCCCCAATGCCTACTGAAGACAGCACCTAGTAAATGCCCACACTGTGAGATAGTTGCTGGGATGAATATCAGAGAAGCACAAGACATGGGGCTTGAGAATGACAGTCCTATAATTCAGTTCAGGAAACAGGCCTAACACATATGAAATAACAGCCTCCTGCCTAGGGAGCAAACCGTCCAGGGCTAACTGCCAGAACAGCTATTCTGGGAAGAGAGCAGGTCCCTCAGGAGACAAGGATGGAAGAAGAAGGCTTATAATGGAAGGGCCCTTGTATTGGCAAAAAAAAGAACGAGTTGGATTTGAAGAGCTGACAGGGCAGAGGTTAAGACTTTCTCCCAGTCTTTGCTAATGACATCATCATTGACTTAGTTGCCCAAACTGATTTCTCCCGTACTTCTGCAGCCATTCCCTTGGATTCTATCACCACTGCCTTCTTCCATCCAGCCCCACCTCTCCGGCCTCAGCTCAAGCGCTCATCACTTCTGTTTTCAGAGCTGTGGCAGCCTCGTGGTGACCTCCCCACCCATCCACAAGTCCATCCTCCACCTAGATGCCAGAGCTATGCTTCCAAAGCACAAGTCTGCAGATGCCCCTCTCCTGCATAAAACGTCCTAACTCTTCATGCAGCAGGCAAAGTTCCTCAAAACCTAACCCTGTCTTCCTCTCCAGACTGGTCCTCTGTCTCTTCCAGGTGCTGCCTGGAATTTGTGTTCCAGGCATACTGACAATCTCACCTATTTCTCAAAACCACAGATTTCTGTCTCCTATCCAGTACAAACTCTGTTTCCTGATTGAAATGTCAAACTTTCACTCATCCTTCAAGTCACACCTCCAGAGTCACAGCTTCTGGGAAGCCTTCCCACCTGCCCCGAGGAGAAGGCCATGGGACTTGGGACCTACCACCATTAACTGCTTCTCGTTTTTCTCTTACCATTCCTGTGTTCATGAAACTGTGAACACATCAGAGTCAGGCGCTATTTGACCATTTCTTTACCCCTGGTTTTTATCAATATTCCTAGTATTTAATAAAACTCAGTTAATAATTATTCAATGAATGAATTCCAGGTGAGAGAAATCAAATAAAACTTTTGGAACAGGAGATGAGCACATTTTGTGGAGAACAGTGAAGAGGTGAAAGTTGCCAAGAAAAACATCTACATTTCTACTAAAAAGGGGTTTCCCGGTTATAAGGTCTCTGTGCAATCAATGCAAGGAATAGATTAAACACACACACACACACACACACACACACACACACACTCACACACTCACACAGAAACAACATTTTAGAACAAGAAAGAAAGAAAGATATGTCTTCATAATATCAGAAGATACATGCCTATAGGTTCCCTAGGATGCAGAGCTGGCTGTGATGTGCCATGAATGGATGACAGGAGGCTGAAACATGGACCCCTCAGCCCTCAGGACAGCCAGGTGGGGCCCCAGGCTCCCAGGTGGTCACCTCGGATGACATCAGCCTCATCTATTTCCTCCAGTGTAAAAAAACAAGTACTATTATTTTCTAAGTATACCATGCTATGAAAAAGACCAGGAAGCCCTAACTAGGAGAACATTTTCTTCTATCCATCCCAAGAAACAAGTATTAGTAAGTGACTTATAGCCTATCTGCATCCAGAGGACCAGTGAGTCGACTTCCATGGCTACCTGGTAAATAGGCATTCTCCACTGAACACGGAATAAACATCATTAAAAAGGTACACTTTCAAAAGGGTAGATTTCAACCAGAGTGTATACATTGATGCATTTTGCACAATTGTGCTTCTGCTACCTTGAAAATTCGTTAAGCTTAAATTAAGATAGAATTATGAATACAACTGAATGAATTGGATAGGATTCTCACTATGAAAAAAAGAATCCTTTAGTTATGTGCAGAAATCAAAAGCTGGCAATGAGTTTTCCAAGTAACATTTGTTTTGTACTTTTTACACCCACTCGCACGTTCACAAACAGACTTTCAGCAAGCCAGACCAAAATCATGGAAGTTTTGAAACAATCATGCTTACTTGATAATTTTTAAATGTTAGTGATTTCAGGACAGTCACAACTTACACACCTCCAGATGGAGCATACATTGATAAAATGAAAACAATTTTGGCAGTATTATCCAAAGCTTTAAAAATCTTCACATCCTTGAACCTTACTAAAGAGAAAATAATCGCATAAATCAGAAGAAATAATGTCAAAACATTAGCATGAGTTGCCCCCAGGTGGAAGACTCTCAATGACTGTTTTTTCCTTCCCAGTTTCATTATATTTTACTTGACTATGATAAACGTATCTTACTTTAATAATCGGGGGAAAATAAATGAAAAAAAATTCATTACTTTCAACCCAATAATTTTTCTTAAGGAGATGATTTTTCTTTTTAATTTTAAAAGTTTATTTGAGCAAAATTGATTTGAATCAGGCAGCACCAATCCAGAAGTGGTTAGGAGTGTTCCACCAACAGGGGCTTGGGGAGAGACTTTTATAGAGAAAAGGTAGAAGCAGAGTAAGGCAATCATTGGCTATAGCTCAAAGCCTAGTTGTCTGTTTTTGACTGGTCAGCCTTAGCGTTTTGATTTCATAACCATGAGGCATTTACAGGCTTAGACTTTGATTTGCTTACGTAGGCCACCACAGCATTAAAGCTACACCAATTTTTTTTTTTTTTTTTAACATCTTTATTGGGGTATAATTGCTTTACAATGGTGTGTTAGTTTCTGCTTTATAACAGAGTGAGTCAGTTATACATATATATATGTTCCCATATCTCTTCCCTCTTTGTCTCCCTCCCTCCCACCCTCCCTATCCCACCCCTCCAGACAGCCACAAAGAACCGAGCCGGTTTCCCTGTGCCATGCGGCTGCTTCCCACTGGCTATCTACCTTACGTTTGTTAGTATATATATGTCCATGTCTCTCTCTCGCCCTAACACACCTCACCCTTCCCCCTCCCCATATCCTCAAGTCTGTTCTCCAGTAGGTCTCTGTCTTTATTCCTGTTTTACCCCTAGGTTCTTCATAACATTTTTTTTTCTTAAATTCCATATATATGTGTTAGCATACGGTATTTGTCCTTCTCTTTCTGACTTACTTCACTCCGTATGACAGACTCTAGATCTATCCACCTCATTACAAATAGCTCAATTTCGTTTCTTTTTATGGCTGAGTAATATTCCATTGTATATATGTGCCACATCTTCTTTATCCATTCATCCGACGGCGGGCACTTAGGTTGTTTCCATCTCCGGGCTATTGTAAATAGAGCTGCAATGAACATTTTGGTACATGACTCTTTCTGAATTCTGGTTTCCTCAGGGTATATACCTAGTAGTGGGATTGCTGGGTCATATGGTAGTTCTATTTGTAGTTTTTTAAGGAACCTCCATACTGTTCTCCATAGTGGCTGAACCAATTCACATTCCCACCAGCAGTGCAAGAGTGTTCCCTTTTCTCCACACCCTCTCCAGCATTTATTGTTTCTAGATTTTTTGATGATGGCCATTCTGACTGGTGTGAGATGATATCTCATTGTAGTTTTGATTTGCATTTCTCTAATGATTAATGATGTTGAGCATTCTTTCATGTGTTTGTTGGCAGTCTGTATATCTTCTTTGGAGAAATGTCTATTTAGGTCTTCTGCCCATTTTTGGATTGGGTTGTTTATTTTTTTGTTATTGAGCTGCATGAGCTGCCTGTAAATTTTAGAGATTAATCCTTTGTCAGTTGATTCATTTGCAAATATTTTCTCCCATTCTGAGGGCTGTCTTTTGGTCTTGTTTATGGTTTCCTTTGCTGTGCAAAAGCTTTGAAGTTTCATTAGGTCCCATTTGTTTATTTTTGTTTTTATCTCCATTACTCTAGGAGATGGGTCAAGAAGGATCTTGCTGTGATTTATGTCATAGAGTGTTCTGCCTATGTTTTCCTCTAAGAGTTTGATAGTTTCTGGCCTTACATTTAGGTCTTTAATCCATTTTGAGCTTATTTTTGTGTATGGTGTTAGGGAGTGATCTAATCTCATACTTTTACATGTACCTATCCAATTTTCCCAGCACCACTTATTGAAGAGGCTGTCCTTTCTCCACTGTATATTCCTGCCACCTTTATCAAAGATAAGGTGACCATATGTGCATGGGTTTATCTCTGGGCTTTCTATCCTATTCCATTGATCTATCTTTCTGTTTTTGTGCCAGTACCATACTGTCTTGATTACTGTAGCTTTGTAGTATAGTCTGAAGTCAGGCAGCC